TTAGAGCGGTCTGGAAGACATTAAATGTCTCCCGAACCCACTCCAAGGCAGACGATGCCTGAATGATGGCATTTCCGCTCAGGCGACCGTCAGCCCCAAGATCGTTCAGACACACGCCAAGCATGTCAAGACCGTTGCGCTCGAGTACTTGCGGCGCTGAAAGCGACAGAACTTCTCGCAGCTGGGTTAGAGCGGTTGGATCGGCAACCTCAGTCGGAGCAGCCGAAGGGCCGGACTCGGCAGTTGTGCTGGAGAGGAGGGCTTTGAATTCGACCTCCCACGAAGCCTGCGCGTAACAAATCAGTTTAGGCTTAAAGGAAGTCACGACAAGAATAGCAAGAAGGTTTCGTTTTTTTTAACCTGCCGAGAGGAGACCTCGGCCATGTCTCCAGGATCGTTGTTCGAACCTAAAGAACTCAATGGCCGAGCCCAGTGTCTCAGGTTGCTTCTCAGTTCACGCGGCCGATGGAGGTTATCTACGTTTGATGGCCACTGAGGCGGCCAAGAAATATAGATAACGCCCTTCGGCGCATAGAATTGTCGGTGAAAAGAATGTACAGGCACCTGACATTTATTATTTTTCTCGTTTAGAATTAAAAAAAAAACAAAAAAAAAACAAAAAAACAAAAATCAAGGAAAGATGGTCGAAGGTACACGAAGGCCGAGGTAACCTCCTGTGGAGGAATATGGAAGCCCTGGTCTTGAGGATGAACGGGCGAGTCCGCCGTTGCCTCAGGTTCCTCGAGCGGGCGTTTGCCCCGGTCGGCTGCAGATGGGCCGACTGGAACAGCCGTTTCGGAGGAGGCAGGGACATCCTGTTCCTGAGAAGGAGCGAGGGGTTCGGCCACCGCTGTCGGTTCCTCGACCGGGCGCTTGCCACGATCATCCGTGGAGGGGCCGGATTGAGCCACCATCTCGGACCTCGGGAGAGGTTGCCGACGAGAGTGAGGACGGTCTGCCAGCGGGACCTCGTCGCTCCCCTCACTCTCTTCCAGAATGAAGACCGAGGGTTTTGGATTTTCAGGGGCTGTTCCCTCGGTCGTAGAAACCACCTTTTTTGGAGCGGATGCTTCCTCGACGGAGGGAGGCACAACTGGTGTACCAGTTCCAGAGATAGGCCTCGTTCGAACTGTCGCTGCGGCTGGGGCGGGCTGTTTTTCGACCGAGGGTTGAACAACGGCAGGATGAGGGGAAACACTGGGAGTCGTCGCCCCTGTAGTTTGACTGGAGATTACGTGGATCTCTTGTGCGCCCTTCTTTGCCAGCTGTTTTACCCGCTTGGCAGGCGGTGGAGGTTCGATGACCGGATCGGCCTCTGGGCGAGGTCGTTTGGTCAGCACGGCCCGACCAGCAGCTTTACCCCTTTTAACCACGGTCGATTTTTTCTCGACCGTGGCCGCGGCAACAGCCTCCGCTTTTCTCGAAGGCCGACTACCTAAAAGGATAAAAACAATTCAGTGAGGCAAATCAATATGCAAGGTTGAAGAAAAAAAAAAGAGAAATAAAGCAACTATCTTGGGGTTGGGGGGCAGAAGACTTTTTAGGTCGACCACCAAAAAGTGTGTCCACAATGGTATCGACCGAGACCCCGAAAAACCGTTGGGTATAACTGTCCCACCAATCACCGAAGGTGTCGGTGCAAAGGGTCTCTGGAGTGGCCGGTCGAAGGCGAAATTTCTGGCACCGTTCCTGGAACTCCTTCTTGGCGTCGGCGCACTCATTCTCTGAGGAGCCAGGTTCGCGTCCGCGACTTAGGACGGACCGAGAGGAGAGAAGGGGGACTGGGCTACCTTGGAGGTAGCCAAGCTGCCGAGCAAGGAAGTTGGGATGATACACTTCCCAACCCGCTCGTTTTCCATCGCAACCGAGGGGGAGGTCGCGAGCAAGCACGAATGACCCCCAGGACTGACGAAGATCGGCGTCTTCATCTGCGCTCCACGCCGATATAGGTGGCCTGACCGAGGAAGGATATGCCCGACGACGACATATCAGGAACTCATCGTTGGAGAGATCGTCGAGGGCGAAAAAGAATTTAAATATTTCTTCGGCTCGGTGAGGGGGTATTGGTCGAGAGGCCAGCTGAGGTCCAAGCGCCTCTGTGGGAGAGAAATCGACGATTGCTGGCCGAAGGGAGGCGAAATACACTTGGAGCCAGAGTTGAAAGACCCAAAGATGACCATTCTGGTATGGGTCAATTTTGTGCAGGGTCGTCTCAGCCAGGCAACGGAAGAGATGGGCCAAGATGTTGGGGCCAAATGTCAGGACATGACCGCTAGCCAGGGCCTCGGCCACTGACATATTCTCGACCAGGCATTTGTTCGATTTGGTACAACAAATGTACTTGTTGTACCAGTAGAAAAGGAAAGCTTCATGTTCCCCTTCCCGCAGGGCCTCTTCTCCTCGGCCAGCGAAATGGAGATAGAGGGTGTTGTAGTTGAAGAAGTTCTTGTGGAGTTTCTGAACGTCTTCTTTTGAGGGGATATGACCCTCACGGCTCAACGTCTCAAAAGCTCGTTGGTCGAAAAGCGTCTTCAGGTCGAGATTCGACTGATATCCGGAGAGGGCAGCATCAATGGGGATTCCAGTTGCTGAAGTCCCCAAGATGGCAGTGACATCAAGAATGGTGGGGCCGATAGGACCAAGGGGGGAGAACCATGGTGTTGGGTGGCCGAACACCAGAAGCATAAGGCGGCTAGGAGAAGCTCCTTGTCGAGAACGATGTCCATAGACGAAAGAAGGATGGCGTCGTAAAGGCCGAGGACTTTCCATTGCTTGCCGAAGAGCTTCTCCATTCGAACGACCCAGGCTGCCCAGGTTGTAGTGGTCGAAGGCCAGGAGCCTTGGGGTTTCGCTGCCTCCCATCTTGACCATTCAAACCCTTGGAACAAGGGTGACAAGCAGTGTTCCTGAAGAAGTTCGGTGATAGTTGATGGTACGGTTGCTTTGAAGAGAGGGCCCAAGATTTGGTGGACGGTGCTCATGTCACTTTCAAACCGTATAGTCTTGATCGAGCTCCGATCAAGAATCTTCTGATGCTGGTCACATTCCTTGGAAAGCTTGGAGATGAAGGACGCCATTGTAAGAATGAAGCACGATGTAAAAGGGTTTTCTGGGTAGGGAGATTTGAAGACTAAGACTTGAAAAAGAAAGGTGCTGGAAAATAAGAGCGAGAGTTTTTCAGAAAGTTTTGGGAGCGTAAAGTGCGAATGAGAGATTTTCAGTATTTATAGGCTTTTGGCAGGAAGGGTAATCGTTTGAAATTCAAAACAAAGGGGCAAAATCGACCGAAAGAATCGTTGATCATGATGAACATTTGGGAAATGTAGTTGAGAAGACCGAAGGTTTCAGATGTTGGGCGCACGATTGCGTGTGACGGCGAAATTAATGGCAGAAGACGTTTCGACGCCTGCACGATGACAAGTGGGCTCACGAACTGAGAAAGTGGCTCGCGGATTGAGATAGTGGTCATAATGTCGACGGTTCAGGCAGCCGCACGCCTTGGACGTCATCATTGGGGTTGGCCGTATTAAAGGACGCCACGTGGCAAGTTTGGTTAGCAGGATCAAGATCGTGCAATCGTGTTCAATAAATGCGCCTTGGAACTCGGGCATTAGGGTTCTGAGTGACAGATTCGCTTCTTCAAGGCCGAAACTCGGCCAAAGAATTCAGGCTGAGGACCTCAGAAGCGAGGGGGCAATGTTTGGGCCCAAAATAACAGTTTGGGCCGAGTGTAGGGTCATTCTCGGCCCGGGAGGCCTTGCGGCAAGAATACCACGGATCGTTCAGTACGTGGGCCTCCAAACCTAGGTCGGCTAGGTCATAACGCAAGAGGTCGAATCCTAGTGCAATAAGGAGTCTCGGCAGGACCCGGAAGCGAATCCGGCTCAGGTAAAGGACTAGGTTCACAGTCCTAGTGAAGGTAGGACTGGTCGAGTTGATGCTGATCAGGGAAAGGAAACCTAGTCCGAGTAGGTTTTTAACTCGACCTTGGGGGAACCATTGCTATAAATAGAAGAGGTTGCACATCATCCTAAGCCCCTGCAAATCAATACAAAATTGCCCTGCGCAAATTCTCACAACTTGTGATTTTTCTTTTTCTTTTTTCGCTGACACATCTTCCGTTGGCATCAACAGCACTGTGGAAGCAACCGGTGATATCTTAAGTCGGCATAGATAGCTCTGTCACCGTAGAATCAATCGGTCTCGCAGTATCTTCCGTTGGCATCAACAGCACTGCGGCGAGAACGGTTGATTACCTATCCAAGTCTCGGTCGAGAAGGGTTTCTAACCCTTATTGGTCGAGGTCATCTCATCAGCCTTCTCGGCGAAGTGAGGTGTTACACGTTATTACGTTCGGCACATTGAAAGCCGAATTTGATATTGAACTTCGTAAGAATAGTAACCTTGTCTTCAGGTTCGAGAGCCCAAGAGGCCGAGACGTGTTCCTTTCTCGGCCGCAATCGCAAGACGCAGAAGTCAGCCGCGCACCCAACGCAACATCAACAAATTTACTCCTCGGCCGACGAGTTGGCACGCCCCGCATTCACCGAAGGACATAGTTAGCTTATTAATTACTCGGCCTGCGCGCCACGTAGGCTTTGTAGTTTCTAGGGTCAACAAAAGGATATCACATTACATATAAATTTCTACCAGCAATTCCGGCCCACTCACAATGGAGTGAGAGTGAGACTTGGTATCAAAACATGTACTTCACGTGTCATAAAATAAGTAAAGAGACACGAACAAAGATATTAGTTCCTCTAATTGCATTATGACATGTAGAGTATCCCTTGAATACTCGGTACGAAAATCTCTCCTTACATGGAGGTTTGTGGGTACACAAGGCCAAGTGGTACCTAAATACAAAGGAGCTCATTTCTTTGTGAGTAAATCCAGCAGTCCACCTGGTCCGACGGTCAGACGATAGAATTCTCACAGTTAGGCCTTGTGCACCAACCTGCCACAACGATACATACAGAATTTCCACATCTAGTAACAACTATCCAAACCATGTATGAGCTAGATAGAACTGCATTTATGTAACAACCATATGAAAAATACCACACACAATACTCAGGACAGAGTCAGGACTCAGAAGGTTAAAATATAAGTCTACATTACTTGCACATCATAAGGTCTGTGGCCATGTGTGCAGTTTGCTATAGTATAGTCTAGATTGATCGGTATTTATGACATTCAGGCAGAAGCAGTGCCCAGATGCTTCGCAATCGTCTGCTGCAGCTCGTCCTTCTTCGCTCCGACCACCTTGTCCACGATCTTCCCTTCTTTCAGGAACATGAACGTCGGCATTGCCTCTACCGCCCAGTCTTGCGCGACCGTCTACACCAAAATTCACTTGCGACTGAGTTTCTCTTACAGTAGGCAGATTCTAAATCAAATTCTCTCTTTTGGAAACAAATGCCTTCATTTTGTTTTTGAATATTACGTACCTTCAATTCATCGACATCGACCTTTACGAATATGACATCGGGCAGCTTCTTAGCCAACTCTGCCAAGAATGGTGCGATGAAGCGGCATGGTCCGCACCAAGAAGCAGTGAAGTCAATAACCATCTGCATTTTTTATTGAAGAGCTCTCACGAGAAAGTAAATGAATAGCATATATGACAAATAACAATGTTTGCCCTCGTTCTGCAATCTTTCTAGCACTTCGTTTAACTCTATAAAACTCCACATTCAACAAAAAAAAAACAAAACAATTTGAGAATGTATAATCATGGAATCACTGTTGTTTTGTTATAAAATATGAAGAGAGACAATTGATAGTAAGTAGCGTCGAAACAAGTGCATGACATACATCGGAGCAATTAATAGTTAGATGTGCGGTCAAGACATCATGATCTAATCAACAAGGATTCAACAGTCAAGGATCCTGGTACTTAAGTATGCATACACTTTGTGTATACTAGAAAGGGAAATGATAACTACACATTTTTTTTTCCTTGTACACACCATATTTATTTTTGTCACAGGTTGAATAAACAAATGGAAACGAGGAGAAAAATTAAACAGAGGTGTATACGGGGAGAAAATGACTCCAAGCCAGAGGCAAATTAATGATGCAGTTCTGAATCCATTACCCTTTTTAGTAAGTCCTTTTCAACCTAGGATTCTTCTTAATTTACAACCAAAAAGAAAACCTAGGATGAACATATATGTGTCCTTTGTCTGCTCCCACATGATAAAACGTTAAAAGAAAATTTCTGGCTCTAATACCAGTTACAAAAGAAAGATAAATTCGATTGAATTTGTACAAATACAGAAGAAACGAAGCCAATTCATTGAACAATTTCACCAAAATCTTCTCCAAGAACGAATCAAGCTCAGAGATCCATATAATTTCCATGGAAAAATAAAAAAATTTCAAAAGAAAATTCCAAAAATTCGAAAAAAAGGCCCTATTTTCTAGGATCTCAATACCAATAATTTAGGACAATCACAAAAATCATAAGCGTCTAACAAATATTTACGATTTGAACATAAATCTAGATTAATTAAACTAAGCAAATCAAATCAAATCAGATAAGAAAAAACCAAATCACCAAAAACCAAACGAAACCCAATATTCAGATTCATTAAAAACAAGAACCCAAATCACCAAAAACCACAATGGAAAACCAAATCGAAATTACAAAAATCAAACAAATCTTTCAAGAAAAAAAAATGTAATGAATTTGGATTTGGTGCAATTCAAAAGAATACCAGCTTCTTGGAGTCGTTGCCTTTTTGGAGCTGCTGCTCCCATGCCTCCACAGTGTGGCAGCTGAAAACTTGTCCCTCCTCCGTTGCCATTTTTCGCTCGGTAAAATTTTCTCGAGAAACAAACAGCTAGAAAATAACACCTCACAAAATAAACGTGATTCCCATGGGTGGGAGATAAGGACTGTGAAAAAGGAGAGATTCCCATGCAACGTACGGACGGGAACGCGTAATGCATGCAGCTGGCAGGTGGGGCTTTTACTGTGAACGTATTGCGCACAAACCCATGGCATCATCTGTGGGTATTTAATTCCAACCGTTGGATCCTAAGAACTTGACCTAATTAATCAAGAGCATCATATCCATTGGTTCATATTTTATTCTTTTGCCAATCAATGGGGGCAAAAAAAAACTAGACTTAGTATTATTAGATCAATAACTAGTTGGTATTATAATCAAAATTAGAAAACGACTTTTGCATTTGTTAGTAAGAATGGTTTGGTTGAGTGTTCCATGGTTAGCTCAAGTGGTGACAGAATGTGATATATTGATATTAAAGACCGATTCTCTTCAATGTTGCAAAGTAATTGAATCGGAATATGTCGCATAATTGGTGTAGCACAAAAAATTCAATCATATCAAAACAGACAGTTCGCTTTTTTGTTTTTGGGAAGGGGTTAATAAGAAGCTTTGGTGCATAGAAAATTTGACGAGTAAATGTTGCTAATCACTTAAACTACAACCCCCTTTGACATTTCTTGGCAAAGGGATATTTGGTTAATCATTGTGTAGAAAATTCAAGCCTAATTAATTTGTTGAACGCCATTACTACTAATAGGATTGATATGTTTTATATTTTTTAGCACTAATCCATATTTATGGTCCAAAAATTCCACATAACTGTAATGGAATTTACATATTTGATAATTATAGAGTCCGTTACACCCTTATTATTCTACCACCGGTTAGTCTAAGAACTTTCTTAGCACATGCAAAAGAGAGTTAAGCCAGTTAGTAACTACAATATGCCTGTCTCTTGCACCCCAAGTTTAAATCTCGTTCATCGTAAGCTAGAGTATTCTAATCCAAGAACTTTCTTCCGTTATATACTACAAAACTGGACCACGACCACGGAATTTTTTTTTTTCGTACATTGGATTCTTGGAACGCATGCCTTCTTAAGAGAAAAGAGACCCTTCGAAATTAACAGTGAAAATGTGTTCTTTATAATGTCGAAAGTAGCTAACAAATGCAACTTCTATACATTTGAATCACGTTTCTGAATCCAAAGTTTTTGTACGAAGACTTCAAATAACAGAATTTACAACTGGATCAAACTCTTGAAACAGTACGTACCAAGAAGAAACCAACCGACAAGAAGGGCGGTGAAGAAACCTAAGTACTTTAGGAAGGTTGAACCTGCTAATGCAACTCCGAGACAGAATGTTATTAAAAACGGTAGTAAGGACTGCACCACGGCTGCTGTGCTCACCCACTGACCCTTGAGAAAGATCAGAGCTGCAAGGTTCACCACATTCCACCCACCAGACCGAAAGCCTAACCTGTTTAGGTTGTTGGCTACAAAGGAGTGGCAATTGCAGGTAAAGAGGTTGTAAGCTCGGTGTTGGAATTCCTGAGTGCCCTTCCGGAGCGCATCATCCCATGTCTTTATGTCGCTTCCACGTTCATTCTGCCCATATTGATCCTCACTTAGGTACTCAGACGGATCGGGAATAGCGCAACACTGCTTGTCAAATTTTAATGAGCATAAATGAAACAGGAACGAGAAGGTTATACGGGTTCAGATATGAAGAGGGCATGTACCTTTTCTTTGCTTATTTGGATGTAGCGAGTCGCTGCTCCAAAAGCAAAGTTATCCACGCACACGAAATTGGGCCCCGCAAAGTCCAATATCACACCATCTTCTCTGCATATGCCAATGTGGCCAACAAAAGGAATCAACCATGAAATAACAGGAAGGGGTGTCCACACAATACAGCATGGGAACCGGGATCTTTTGGGGTCAATTTGCAATGTCGGTGAATCACTTCCATCAATCATCAAGTTGTGCTCGGGGCCTGCACTTGTTTCCATTGCCAAAATTGGAAAAGCTGCTGAATTGTCTCAAAAACATTAGACACTTCTCAAATATGAAACTAGTTTATCTTAACTCTCACATCCGAAATGGAAAGACACTGCCAAAATTAAAGGCATCAACTATTGTTTGGGATAAAATCTGAACTTTGGGCCAGAGAGAAAGTCGGCCCAAACCCAAGGCCCAGAGGAAAACTTAGGAGGCAGGAAAGAGGCTTTCGGCTGGGCACAAATTACAAAGGCCACCTGTTTACCTGCTCAAAGACCACAGGGGGTAGGTTATTCAATCACTGCACAGCCCAATAAAGTACTTTATTGGTGGCATTCATGTAAAAAAGCTAGTGAGTCATCACCAAACCGCATTCGGGCAACCGCCATTGCTACAGGAACCCAAGCTGAATCCGTCTATAAAAGGAGGAAGAGAAGACAGAATTAAGGACACTCAAACAAACAAACAAAAGCCAAAACTCTGCTCAAGCCAGATTTGCCTTCAACAAAGCTGTAGTCAGCACAAGCCTTCATCCCGTTCGGGATAAACCTTCCCAAACCCCTGTAATAGCTCTGCTACCTTGTTCTTAGTGGTATCGATTCATTTTGTATCCTCTTCTCCCCATCAACCCCTTCTGAAAGCTTTCAGACCTTTGATAGAGCCACAAAGATAGATTTTGTAAGAAGTTCAGCCTTGGCCGATAAGGTTCAAACTTGCCCCGACTATCTTTGCTCTGTCTTTGTCTTTTCTTTCTTTTAAAAGCACAATAACATGTTATATATTCTCAGTTATATACAAGTTATTTCTGGCAAAGTCACAATGAAAATGAGTCTTCAGCACTTGAATCCGATCTGAATCACGTCAGAGTTTAGATCAGATCTGAGGCTTAAGCCCGCGGGCATGTAATTTAAAGATCAGTTTAAAAGTCCTTGGCCTCAAGGCATAAAAAAGAACTCTATGTGGACTCAACCCATCCACGACGATCCTTGATAAGCGAGAAGTCCGAAGTTACTTGGGGCGCAAGTAATCAATCTATTTCTCCGTTTTGTTACTATTATATCTTGATTCGTAGAAAAGGCTTAAGCATAGAGTGAATTCTGATAGAAAGCCTCAAGGCCTACACCTAAGGCCCCACGAAGGCATCTATTTAGCTTCATTTTATGTTGCGGTCTAGTTGGTCCGAGTATAAGGATTAACTCTGATGGGAAGCCTCAAAGGTCTATACCTAAGGCCCTACAAAGGCACTCATTTGGGTTCGTCCTACCTCTAGGATTCAGATAATCAAAGGTATAATAGTGATAAAACTCTGGCAACCATAAAAGGCCAAATATGATACATCCAAGCGCTGGTTTAGTTTGACAGGAAGCCTCAAGGCCTACACCTAAGGCCTCACAAAGGCACCTGTTATATCTAACTCGGTTTTTCTCGGGCGCGTATACATATTCAATCAAAGCTTAAACACCCATTCAACATCTGCCATACTGAAGATGGCAGTGGCACGCCTGAGCACGATAAAGTTAATCTTGATTGTGAGCCTCAAGGCCTACACCTAAGGCCCCACAAAGGCACCCTTTCAAATTAACTCTGTCCTTCTCTTTCAGAACTGCCCGACGAGCCTTGCCCGAAGTGTGTCTTGCCCGACCAAGATCTGCCCGACGAAGGCCTTCCCGAGCAAGCCCGAGAAGAAAGCAGGAGTACGACATATACCCTCAACCGACGCCATTCTCCCAGGGGAGCTGTGTGCTCGACCGCCAGGAGATTCCTGCGACGAACATAGTTTTGGCACGCCCGGTGGGATCAAACTGATCTGAAGATAAAGATAACCATGCCAGAAGATTTACAGAATACTTTGTTTCAAATGCTACAGAGACTGAATGAAGCCTCCCTAGGCTCTAGAAATGAGACAGGTTTGGCTCCTCCCAAAGGAGAAAGACACAGGACTACCCAGCCAGATGAGGTAGTCATAGTCAACCCCGTGTTGCCCTTTTTTGAAGCCCCGGTAAACATGCTCAACATGACCTGGGCAGAGAAAGGAAAAGGGAAAATTATAAGGGAAGAAGAAGAAGGGAAACTAGCCAAACGACCTACGGAAGGGATAGGCAAACCATCCGAGTACCCAAAGGCTGCCATAATCAAAGGGCTGGTTATGTGTAGTAAATGCCAGTGTGAATGTGAACTCGAGATTCCCCCAGCTGGAGTCCTTATTGATCACGAGTTAATTAAAAGAGAAGCCCGCGAAAAGCTTAAGCAGGCAACAAGAAAAAATACTTCCCGAAGCGTTTTTCAACGTTTAGGAGGTGATTCCTAACCCAAGGCGTTGTCAGAAGTATTTCGAAACTATGAAGTTTCTGACGAGTTTCGAAACTATGAAGTTTCTGACGAGGCAGAAGATATGAAAGCCAAACTCCAAAGAAGTACAGAGCAGCTTCAAAATGGCCAAAAGGGGAAGGAAGTCAGAAGACTGATGGGATGGCTAATCCTGTTAAGAAAGCAACTCCTGCATATCGTGGGCGGAAATGGTATGTAGTTGGAAAAGATGGGCAGCCTACCAGACCAATGGGAGCATCCATGGTCAGAAGGGTTCAAAGGCAGCACAAAGCCTACATGAATTCCCTGATGACCTCCATCACCTCTGAAGCCTCAAAAAATCAAAAGCCAGAGAAAGCAACATCTGAAAGTAGTAGTCAGCTTCGTTGGCGAAGTAAGAAGGAAGTAGAAAGGGCTAACAGCAAAACGGAGGGTATGGGGAATCATGTGCCACAAAGCCATCACCCTGGCAAATATAGGATCTTAAGAAGGGCTCAGGAAGATCTGACTATGATGCCAACACCTGGTTGGAGGCCAGGGCCCATCCATGAGGAAACTGTTGCATCTGAGAGGAGACCAACCTTTCTGCCTTTGGATCCGTTTGGTGAAGTTCCAAAGCAAGCGCTGTACGGAGACATGAATCAACCACAACAGGAAGGGATACCAGAGCCCTTATTACCAGCCGATGCAATGGCCTGGTTAGACGAGTTCATGGATCACATTGGGAGCAAGAAGGAGGACTTGCTCGAACCCAGCAACTTCCACATCAACA